ATTAATGGAGGCAACACCAAGGTTCTCAACCAACAACAATGGTACCAAAATTTAGCGTTGGTTCCAGCAAAAACGATGGAAGCAAAGATGCAAGATTGGACGATGTTTCGGCAAACTAAAAAACACCGGTGGTAGCAAAAATTAAAGTTGGCTCAGCAAACCAAAAACGTCATTGGTAGCAAAAAGAGTAAAATTGTGCGTTGTTTCAGCAAACCAAAATGCCGGTTGTAGCAAAAAAATAGACCTGGTTCCAGCAATCCAAACATTGGCGGTAGCAAATTAACAAAATAGGAGTAGGTTCCAGCAAATCTGAAATGCCAGAGGTAGCAAAAAAATATTGGTTACAACAAGCAGAAAAACGGTGGTAGCAAGAATATAAATTGGACCAAACCAAACAATTGGTTCCAGCGGTGATGCAGCAGAGCTTGCAGCATATCCACATGTTGTTCCAGCATCTCCCCGTGCTGGTTCCCACACCACTCTCGTTGGCCATAGCATCGTCGGGCCTGCATCATGCGTGCACGAGCTCAACGTCGTTGGTCGCAGCAACACCGCGCACCGGGCCGACATGCCGCGCCCGCCCCTGGGTCGTCGTCATTCCTGCTCCTCCGTGCCCGTCCGTGCCTACAACTTCCCCCGATGAAGCATCGTCGATTAGCGCGGCTCAGAAGCTCGCCGAAGATGTGGCCGTCACCAGCAGCACCAGCGTGGCAGCTTGCATCACAACCGATGCCTCCCTCTCCTCGCGCCTAGCGCAAGTGTAGTGGATTCAGAGCGGGATGATGGTCGTTGGCATGGAAAAGGGAGAAGTGAAGATATGGGAATGGAATATAGGGGATTTCAAGGGGTGTGACCATGACAAAGAGATAAGGAGGAGGAGGTGGCGGTGCATGGCCCCGCTGCGACAGGTGGCGTGTCGAGGTAACCGGCACAAAATTCAGCCGGTCGTCCGGAGACAAACTTTCCCCGAAGGATCCAAGCGATATTTAAGTGCAAATTGTTCATCTGACTTGATATAGGGGGCGAAAGACTACTCGACACTTTCGAATCAAGGCATTGCTTTGGAATACATTAAACATTAAGATGGATAACATCATAGGATTCGGATCTTATAGTATTCACCTTAGGGATGAGAGTAATGATTAATAAGGCCAATCAAGGGCATTTGTACTTTAAGTCATAGGTGATATTTTTTTATTTATGAAAGACGAACTAGTGCGAAAGCATTTGTTAAGAATGTTTTTATTAATCAAGAGTAGAAGTTGAGGGGCTCGAAGACGATCAAATATTGTCAACCACGGTTCGGTGGATGTTGCTTATGGGACTCCACCGACACCTTATAAAGGATCAAAATCCTTGGATTTCGAGAGGGAGAGTGGTCGCAAGGCTAAAACATAAAAAAAGAAATGACGGAAGGGCACTAGAGCCCGTGGCTTGGTTATGCGCCTGGGTTAGCTCGACAGGGCCTTGGCCCAAGTGGTTGTAGGAGAAGAGAAAAATAGAGATAGATGTAATGGTTGGGCCCCGGGCTGTTGTTTGCTACTGCTGGGATGTGCCCCATGCGGCAAATGGTTGGATCGATTGAGCTGGATGGGCTTAGGATTAGGTTTAGAATAGTTTTTGAATTTCCTTTTTTCCTTGATATTAGATTGAATGTGATTCAAAAATTAAATCATTTTAATTTGGAAATTTTACAAAAATCCAATACAATATTTAGGACTTAAGAAAAAATCCCAGCCAGAATATTGAATAAAATACATATAACAATATTATAAAGTTTTTTTTTGGAAATTATAAATATTCCCTAAAAATAAATGTAAGGTTCTAACTAATCATATATACATAAGAGAGTCAATATTTAACTCAATATGCAAGCATGTCACCTTACCAAACAATTGTGAATGGTATAGACCCACCTTGGGTCTTCAACATGAAAATAATGCATGAAGAAAGACCCGCCACAATATTCAATCATGCATGAGAATATTTTATTTATTATTCTACTTATATTCAATAAATATTTTTACAATAACTATACATAATCAAATATATAAATCTTATGTATGAACGCTAACAGCAGTGACGGGGAGGGAAATGTCGGTGCTTTCTCTCTGGCTAGTAGTTTAGGTCAGTTTTTTTTAGTTCTCATAGGTGCAGCAATGCGGCCGATCGCTTCGCTTGTTCTTCGAATTTGTCTTCCACGCTCCGATCCTTCTCAACTTCGTCCATCTAGACGTAGTCGAGAGCTCTGACATAGACTCCAACTGTCTCCTTGGGGTGGCGATGTTAGGGTTTCTCGTCATGCGTGTGCGGCGACGAGATTTGGTATCAGTTGTTTTAGATTTATTTAACGGTTTAAAGACGACGACTCCGGCTCCAGGGCGCTAGTCCTTAGGGGCATGTGCACGGAAACTTTCCCGTTGTCATTGACAAGATCAAGCCGGCTCCGGTAGGGGAGCGGCGACAGTGACGCGTCGGCCGCGATAGTGGCCGTTCAATGTCTAGAGACCTCATTGTAGTTTTTATTATGTTTGGAGTGCCTTGTATTCCTAATGAATTTTCATAATATTTTTTTTAAAGACGGGGTAAGCTGCAATATGCACCTACGAGGCTGCATGGTCTGCAAAAAGTACGCCAGTTAATTATCACGGAGAAACACAAGCATGAGCACCTGAACTTACTTGAATTGCCGGATTTGCCTTGTGGACGCATCGTACACGCAGTTGGGTCAAAGGCACAGATCAGCATCGTAGAGCAGCCGAGGTGAATCGCAGGGCAATTCTCCTTTGGCACGCGCGACACGGCCTGGAGCTTCTTCACCTGGCCAACTCCGACCATCAGTACAAGTATGCCTCCGTGCCAAAGGAGAAGCGCCCTGGGATTCACACGCCACGCACATGGATATACTGATGGTTTCTGAAGTTCTTTGCACTCGTCGCCGATGAACACACCCTGAACCATGCTTATATACCGCGCGTTCGGCTTCGGGATATGGATCTTCAGACGGCATATGCTCCGAGGCCGATCGACTATTCCGGAGGAGCTACCTTTCTTGCCGGTGGCCTCCCTATCGCTTCCCCGCTTTGGAAGTGCTGCAGGACAGGAATAATGGTCCTCCTCGGCAGGCTTTCCTGATCTTCATTCAGCACAGGTATACATTTTGCGGGTGCAAGCAAAACTTAGGTATACGTGGTGCAATGTTACA